TTATGTGTAAATTCTGACAGTTACTTTGCTTTAATATTTTGAAATGTGATTCCACTGATTTCTGAATTATATTATTACTGTTGTTGGTCTAATTATTACTCCTCTAGGTAATTTGCCTTTTTTCTCTAGCTGCCTTTAAGATTTTGTGTGTGTGTGTGTGTTGTCTGACTTCTCATTTTGACTTCTGGTCCAGATGGCTATTTTTATTTATTCTGTTCAAGTTTCATTATGTTCCTTAAATGTGAAGAGTCACAATTTTAGTCAAATTGGAAAAATTCTCAACTGCTACCTTTTCAAACTTTATCTGTTCTGCATTTTGTCTCTTCTTTCCTTCTGGCCTCCTATTGATTATAGGTTGGCCCACTTCCTTCCTCCTCCTTGTTTCTTTCCTTCTTTCATTTTCCATTTCTATCAATTTTCACTGCTTTCAGAGTATCTAACACAGGTTTAGCTTCCCAGTCTCTTTTCAACTCTCTAATGGGCTATTCAATCACTTTTTGCCTTTTTTTTTTTTTTAAGATCTGTTTATTTATTTCTTTGGGGGCCATAGAAGGAGAGGAAGATTCCCAAGCAGACTCCATGCTGAGTGCAGAGCCTGACTCAGGGCTCAATCCTAGGACCCTAAGACCATGACCCCAAGACCATGACCTGAGCCAAAACCAAGAGTCAGAAGCTTAACCAACTGTGCCACCCAGGCACCCCCCCAACCCACCCCATGCCCCACTTTTGCCTTTTCTAGAACTTACATTTGCATCTGTAAAACTTGCCTGGTCTTTTCCAATAGTGCATTATTTCTAGGGTTTTGATTCTTTTCTTTTCATTGTGTCTTTGATCATTTTGAATGTACTAATTTTATACCTTTCAGACTGTGATTTAGTTATTTCAATTTCTTAGAGTTCTGTATTCCTGATTTTTGTCACTCCTAGTAGATTGATTCCATATGAACTCAGTACATTTTTAGGAACCCATCTTTAGCAGGAGTTCTTTTTCTCTGACAATCTTTTCCAAGTAGTTTGGCATTTGGTTGTGCCAGCCAGAAGTATCAAAAGCTTGGACCAATTATTTATGTTGTTTTTTCAGTTGAGAAAGACAACTAAATGAAAAGATAGAACCATTGCCCAGGAAACTGGATCTAAGGTAAACATATAGAAAGCAGACAGGTAGAGAGTTTTGAGCAGAGGGGTGACATGATTTACTAACATTTCTGACAAGATTACTCTGGCTACTGTGCTGAGAATAGATTGTAAGGGGGACAAGGAGTAGAAGTAGGATACTAGTTAGGAAGCTATTATAATAATACAATGGAGAGAAGAAAGTGGCTTGGACCTGGGTAGTAGGAATGACTTGATAAGAAATGATCAGATTATGAATATGCTTTTCTAATACTTTTTATTGTGAAGAGCAATAAAAATACATAAAAGTACATGAAACACAAGTATACGACATAACAGTACTTACAAAGTAAACACCTATGTTAAATAAACACCACACAGGTCAATAAATAGACCACCAGCACCCCAGAAGTCTCTCCTACAAATTCCTTACCAAACACAAACTTCTCTCCCTTGAAAGTGACCTGCCTTGAGGGTCATAGGGGAAGGGACGGAAAATGAAACAAGATGAAACCAGAGGGAGACAACCCATAAGAGACTCTTAATCTCAGGAGGGTTGCTGGAGGGGAAGGGGGGTGGTAGGGATGGGTGGTTGGGTGACGGACATTGGGGAGGGTATGTGCTATGGTGAGCGCTGTGAATTACGTAAGACTGATGAATCACAGACCTGTACCCCTGAAACAAATAATACATTATATGTTAATTTTTTTTAAAGTGACCTGCTTTTTATAACAATCATGTTTTTGCTTTTCTTTCCTACTTTTAAACTTTATGTAAGTAGGATTATACAGTGTGTAATTTGTGTCTTGCCTTTTCTCACCCAACATTGTTGGTAAGATTTATCCATATCGCATGGAGCTATATTATGTTCCTTGCAATCATGCTAGAATATTGGATTGTCTGCAAATGGCTTGCTGTATTTATCTATTCTATTACTGATAGACATTTGGGTTGTTTCCAGTTTTGAACTATCATGAATGTCCTTTGAATATTATTGTCTACATCTCCTGGAGCACATATATGTGTCTTGCTCTAACATACATCCAGGAGTGGAAGTACTAAGTCATAAATATGATATCTTCAACTTTGCTAGCTAATGCCAACCTGTTTCCCAAAGTGGTTGTAACAATTTATCCTGACTCAGCACTGTTCAATGATTCTAGCTGCTCTAGAACTTTAACACTCAGTATCTCAGTTGTTTTAATTTTAGCCATTCTGATGTAATATTATATTTCATTTTAGTTTAATTTTCAATTCCCTGATTATTTATGTGATTGGGCACATTTTTGTATGTTCTTGGTAATCTGAATATCTTTGGGGAAGTGTGCATTCAAGTCTTTTACCCATTTTTCTATCAAGTTGCCTGTCTTTTTTTTTCTTATTTGCATTAAAAAAATTTTTTTTATTTAATCCTATATTGATTATATGTATAACAAATACCTTTCTCCATTCTGTGCCTTGTATTTCATTCTATGGTGTCTTTTGATGAAAGTAAGATTTTAATTTTAATGTTGTAGAATGTACTGATGTCTTCTTCTAGTTGTTTTTTGTATCTTGGGGGGAAGGAACTTTCCTACCATGAGATCAGTTTCTTATGTAATCTTCTGGAAGATACAGGAGAAAGTAGTCCCCTATATTACCTTCTAGATTTATTTTTGCCTTACACAATAGGTCTTTAATCCACCTGGAATTGATTTTTTACTAATAGAGTGAGGAAGGGGTCCCATTTCTTTCTCTCACTTCCTTATCTGTCACCACTCTTATCTGCCTCCTGAGGTTTACACATTTGTCCTAGCCTCACTTATTATAAAGTACATCCTTTCCCAACTGATGTATCACACAACCTCAATCATACATCAAGTGTTTGTATAATGGGGATTTGTTTCTGGGCTCTCCACCGTGCTCCATTGTCTATTGTCTATCCCTACTTCCATACCACATGGACATCATTACTACTTTAGCTTTGATGTCTCATAGAATGAGCCCTCCAACCTTCTCCTTCATCTTCAACAGTGCCTTGGCCATCTTTAGCTCTTCCGACTTCCATATAAAATTTTTTAAAGATTTATTTATTTACTTTAGAGATAGAGTTAGAGCAGGGGGAGGGGTGAAATAGAGGGAGAGAATCTCAAGCAGACACTCCACTGACCACAGAACCCAAGGTGCGGCTCAATCTCATGATCCCAAGATCAAAACATGAGCTAAAACCAAGAGTCTGACACTCAACTGACAGAGCCACCCAGGTGCTCCTTCCATATAAATTTTAGAATCGACTTGCTAAGTTCCACAAAAAGTTAGGATTTAATCAGGATTATATCTATTCCGTAAATCACTTTGGGGAGAATTGTCATCTTAACCAGTCTGTGAGCTTAGCATAGCTCTCATTTTAGATATGTCCTTTTTAATACCAGTATGATTTTCTTTTCTTTGAAAAAGACTTACCTATCTCTTATGAGATTTAGTCCTAAATATAGTATTTTATTTAAAATCGTATCTTTAAAACATTTACCTTCGGGTTTTGCTGGGAAATAAAATAATCAATATTTATAAACTGATTTTGGTATTCAGCAACCTTACCAAAATCTCCAGTGAGTTCTAATATCTTATCTTAGACTCTATTGGAGTTTCTGACTATCTCCAAATAATGACAGCTTGTTTCTTATTTTGCAGTCCTTAGAACTTTCCTTTCTTTTTCTTACTTATTGAGCTGGCTAGGGTCTGTAGTAAAGCACTGACTCCAAAGGTTTCACTGAATTGATTGAATTTGGGTTTCAAATTTTGAAGGCTCAACCACCAGCATTTGCTCACGAATTGTAGTTAGGCTGTGAGAGAAATCAAGATTGAGTGCAAGGTTTTTGGCCTGAACAGCTGATAGAACTGCATTGTCATTTACTGCTGGCAAAGCCAGGGATTTGTTTATCATATAGAGGGTAATTAACTGAAGAAAGATAAAAACTGGCTTATGCTTATTGGTAATGATCTCTCTAACAGACTTTAGCCTGGTTTTCCACTTCTGAAATAATTCACACCTGAAAGGATTTAAACATATACAAATGCTCTCAGTAGGGTTTGACTTGTAACTTCCTGTTCAGCCACTGCCCTCCACAGGGGGTTTGTCTGAATATGAGCTGTACACTCTTGACTAAAATCTGAACGGTGAGAGAGAGAGAAAGATGACTTTTCCCTCTAGCGTCAATATTTCCTATTTTCTTACAGACACACACACACACACACACACACACACACACACACACACACCTGTCTTGTTTTGCAACCTTTCCCAAGTCAAACAATTAAAAGGGAATCTCTGTCACCCAGGAAACTTGGTCCCTGCAAGTAGCTTGTCTGGAAAGATGTCCTAGAAAGACCAGCTGCATTTCTGCAATGTCAACCTAAAAACAATGAAGAAAAATGAAGGGGTGACTCCTGCCGAAGAGATCCTAAGTCATACAAAAAGCCCTCATTTCCCAGCCAGAAGGCCAATTTGACCATATGGTTGTTTGCAATCACAGCTATGTATTTTATAGTCAACTTATTTTCACTTAACCTCCTGTTCCTGCTATCCTAAACTGCGTTCCGTGTTTCTACCGCCTTCATCATTACCATGTTAATGTCTGCATGATATTACAACGTGTTATTGCAACACAACTTAACTAAATAAAGTGAACCATTCAGGATTGTTTCCATTTTTCCACTGAAAATAACGCAGCAATCAGGCTTGCAGCTGTTCGCCTCCTATTGTTGAAACATCTTTTAAGATTCGCCTACAAGTCCGTGAGTTAGACTAGAGACAGGATAACCAACGAGCGCCAGCGTGATCCCGCCCCGGGGGCGGGTCGTGGGCGGGGCCGCGCACGTCCGCGTCCCGCGCTGCGTCACCGACGTCCCGCCCACCTGGTGTGCGGCGCGCGAGCGGCCGCTGCTGCGCTAGCGGGTGGTTCGGGCCCTGGGAGCACGGAAGCCCGTCGCGTCGGCTATGGCTCCCTGGGCTATGGCCGAGCTATGGGCGCTGAACCCGCTGCGCGCTCTGTGGCTCACTCTGACCGCCGCCTTCCTGCTGACCCTGCTGCTGCAGCTAGTGCCGCCCGGCCTGCTCCCGGGCTGCGCGCTTTTCCAGGACCTGATCCGCTATGGGAAAACCAAGCGTGAGGGGCCGTCGCGCCCGGCCGCCTGCCGGGTCTTTGATGTGCCCAAGAGGTAACCGCGCCCCGGCTCGAGCCCGGGAAGCCGAGGCGCGGAGAGCCCGGGGCGCCCGGCTCGGGCAGCCGGCAGGGGGCAGCAGAGGCGGGCGCGGGCCCGGAACGGCCCGGGCCCGGGAGGCCCTGACAGGTCTCTGGGCGCGGCGGGCCTCGGCGGGTCTCTGGGGGCACGGCCGCGTCCGCGTCGTGGCCCGGGGGGAGAAATGCCCCAAGGGCCCGCGGACACCGAGGATGCTGAGCTGTTCGTGAACGTGAACGTGTGGCCGCACCGAGTCTTCCCCTCGGGGGGAGTAGCGCTTCCGAATGTAGGCCTGGTCACCCGGCGTCAGGTTATAGCCTTTCGGTCCCAAATTTTCCTTTTAGCCCTCCTCGGCGCTCTAGGGCTCGATCTCACTTGAGGTCACTCACTTGTAGACATGAAGGCAGGCCCTCCCCTCGCCTTTGCTTCTCTCATTTGTCTCCGACCTTTGAAGTCAGGACGAGGGGGCAAGCCGCTGGTCACAGGGCGGCACCCCTCCTTCTGCCACACCAACCCTCCTCACTAGCACCTTGGCCCAGGAGTGCACATTTCTGTCAAGACTGACCCCGAAGCTTTGACTTTCAACAGGTTTCATAACCAAGTTTAATGAAAGATTAAATTGTTAGGGCTTAAGTAGGGTTCTTTCAGAATTGTGAGGACTTGTAGTTAGCTTTTGTTTGGGGTTTTTCATTTTTTTTCTTTGAATTCAGAACATAGCTGAGAAGAGTCAGCCAAGCACTTCTAGACGGTAGGAGAATAGCAGTGGCTCTTCTGTCTTTAAGGTGCATCGAAAGTTGAACATTTAGGAAGGAATCTGGAGGAACGTGATAAGGTTTCAAATGTATTAAAACACCAGGGTTATCGCTTGAACCTCTCAGAGACAGTGTCCCAGGTCCACAGACAAGAATGCGGCTGAGTGTAACTTGGCTTCTGAAACGTGGATAATCGCCCCCACTCTGGTCTGTTGGGAGAGAGATTCCTAAGGTGTTAACACTGAGAAGGAAGATGTAGGACATTCACAGGAAGAGGAAAGGGAATGAGACCCTGGGAAGAGGTAGAAGTATTTAGGACAAATTAGTCAAACCCTGTATTTAGTAGAGGCTCTTTTTAAGCAAACATTATCCATCATCCTATTTTTAATCAAGTTTGATTGCAATACATCCTTTTATGCTTTATAGCAATGGCATTCCCAGATTATCATTTTTTACTGTTATAAAGTGAAGAAAAAATATTTCTTAGTGTGAATTCTAACAAACTGTTTTCTGAATTTTGAAAAGGGTATTGATGTCCCTAAATTAAAGGACACATTTCAAGTCATTCCCTGCACTCCGCTGTTTCTCTGCTCCCATTCCCCAGCTGTTAGTGCTCAAGCACTTGATTAGATGACAGCTAAGAAAACAGACCTGGTACCTTTCCTTTATTCATTACTACTCTTTGGGCTTGTTGTAATTTCTCCCATAATTTACACCTTTTTCTTCTTCTAGAATTCTAGAGTAGAACCTCCCATGATGTCCAAATGATGTTTTTGTTTTTGTTTTTGTTTTTTTAATTTAAACCATTTCTTTTAGTATTGGAAAAAGATAGAGCAAGTCCAGGCCAAGAAAGAAAGACAAATGTGCCTAGATACTATATTTAAATATTTTTCCTTGTGCAAAATTCAGTTGTACTCTTAAAAGTGAACCTGTAATTTTTATACTTAGAGGCAGCTGTAAATCATACTTCTGCGTTCACATTTCTGCATCTAAAATGGTGCTTACGTAATTTTGTTTGGGGTTATTTTTTCCTAAGGAGGCAAGAATAAAACCTTAAATCAGTTCATGGCATGTTCAATTCCATTACCACTGTTGGGTAGGGTTTTTTCCCCTAAATTAAGGTGATGGTACTTTTCTTGTTTTCCTTTTGGTTCGTAGATTGTTAATTTCCGAGAAAATCTGAATAAATAGGTGATGTCAACATGAGTCACAATGCTCTTGACTTGTGTAATGTGTATAGAAGTACTTCTGCTTCTAAGTTTCAAAATGGTATCAAAGCCTTGCAATTGAATTGAGCTCTGGAAGCAAAGAGCCATCCAGACTTTTCTCCAGGGGTGCAGCAGTCATAACCAGGGGACCTGTGCACAGAATTCAGGGCAAACCTGGTTAGAAAAAAAAATTACGTCTTTATTTCACTAATCTCTAGCCAAAATTCAGCATTTCCTTAATGATAAATGTATTTAATGAACCATGGTAGAATTAGCAGTACTTGAATATGGTGAAAGATTTTTTATATCACATTAAAAATATTGAAGAGACATCAAAACATTTTCATCACCACAAGAATGAACCCCTAGATCTTGTTATGTGATACAGTAATTAAGCATATATATTACTATATCACAGATTTTTTTTTCTAGTAGTTGTGTTACCTATATTTCAATATAATTGATTTCCTTGGTAATCCCTATGTATTTTATGATCGAAGTAACATTTTGAAAAGTGGCCAGTTCCCTTCCCCAGACTGCCAGTGGAGTCCAGGGAAGAAAAGTGTTAAGAACCCTTGCTCTAGACTATAAACTGGCCATAAGTTTACATTGTCTTGTTTGTTACCATATCCCTGGTTCAGTGCCTGACAAATAATAAGGTCCTTGATCACTCTGTCTTGAATGAATTGAAGAAAAACAGGGTTTAGGTTTAGTTGGTTTGTTGATTAACAAAGGGTTTATAGAGTACTTACGTGCCAAGAGCTTTTGTTCTTATAAAACAGGCAGTAAATATGTAAACAAATCTTACAAAACAAGGTAATTTTGGATGGTAATAAGTGCCTCAGAGGAAATCGAGCAGGATTACTTGATCATGAGCAAAATAGGGTGGCTGTGACAGTTACAACACTGGAGAGGATGGTAAGGGAGGGGTGGGGCAGGAGATGAGCTCACTGGGGGAGGCAAGGCTGGCTCACCAGGGCCATGGTGGAGATGAGATTTTATTCTGAGTGTATGGAAAGCCACTGAACTCTTTAGGACAGGGAAGGAGGCGTGACATGATGTGATTCCTGTTTTTGAAAGGGTGACTAGCCATTGTGTGAAGAAGACTGAATAAGAGGCTGTTATGATGGTCCAGGCAAAAGGCTTGCTTGTATAATAACACCTCTTTGCCATATAGGTGGTGACGACATTAAAGTACTTAGCACAGGCCAGGCACCTAGTCAGAATCAGTAAACATTAGTTCACTTCCTTAGTTAACCCCATAACTCCCATAATGGAGCCTTGGATCAGTCTCAGCTATCTGCAAACCTGTATTATTAGATCCTGCCTTCTGGCTCAAAATCATCCATTGGCTTCCACCTTACTCACAGGAAGAGCCCAAGACCTTATACTGTTTTGTTCCCACCACCTCACTGACTTTGTGACCTATAGTTAGCCCCCATGTGGTGCCAGTCCAGCCCTGTAGGCCTCTCTGCTAGTCTTCTTTCTCACCTCAGGGCCTTTGCACTGCCTGTTCCCTCTATCTAGAAAGCTCTTTCCCCATATAGCTGCATACTTGGTTTATGTCCTTACTTCCTATAATTCTACTCAAATATTACCTTCTCAGTGAGGTATTGCCTATCCACCCTATTTTAAAGTGTAATTCTACCACCACCATGACCACCGCACCCCCCCATATTCCTTCTTCTCTTCCTGGCTTTCATTTTCTCAGGAATGGTAAATGCCTGCTGGCATGCTATGAATTTTACTTTTGTGTGTGAGTGTGAGTATAAGTGCCATAAGGGCTGGATTATCTGTTGTTTTCGTTGTTGCACCCCTAGAGCAGTCCCTAGCTTCTAATTAGCCCTGAAATATTTATTAAAGTAGTGCTTGCTTGGTGCCAAGTCCTGTGTTACCATGAGGATCACCTTATCCCTCTTCCCACGGACTTGGAAAACAGTGCTGCAATTAAGTAAAGTGCCAAGGGAGGAAAAAGGGAGAATGTCTAAAACAAAAGGGGTAGAGTTCTTAGATCTGTTGTTGGAGGCTAACGGGGCCTTTTAACGTGGTATAAATTGGCATATGTGATACAGAAACAGAAAAGTTCAGGTTCAGGTGGGTCTAGGTTGCATGAATTAGAGGTGTAGCAGTGTGGGGGCATCTGGGTGGCTCAGCTGGTTCAGTGTCCAAATACTATTCTTAGCTCCGATCTTGCTCTCAGGATTAAGAGTTCAAGCCCCATGTTGGGCTCCACGCTGGCCGTAGCACCTACTTTAGAAAAAAAAGAAAGAAAGAGAGAAAGGTAGTGCTACCGGGTGATTTTAACTTCAGAGTCATTGGGCTGAGTTTGGAGCTAAATGCTGCCACTTACTGTGTGACCTTGGATATGTAACTTAACATCTGAGCCTTCATTTTCTCACCTGCCACGAGATAACCAAGTAAACTTTACAGAATTGTTTCTGCCTATTTACCAGAGGGATTTTTTTTTTCTAACTTTAAAAAGAGTGAAATGAATAAGCAATGCTGTGTGTGTGTGTGTGTGTGTGTGTGTGTGTGTGTGATTGTGTGTGTGTTTGTAAAATATACATGATGTAACACTTAACATTTTAACCCTTTTCGGGTGTACAGTTCATTGGTGTTGTATACATTCACATTGCTATGCAGCCATCACCACTATCAATTTCCAGAACTTTTCCATTAGCCAGAAGGATTTTAAAACCTAAGTTATTTAAGTCACTCTGCACAAATGGCTCCCCGTCACACTGAATAAAAGCCAGTGTCCTTGTAAGACCCTATAGCATCTGCTTCTGCACACAGGTGTCCTTTATTGTTCCTCAGAGCCTATGTGGTTGTCATTTCCTCTGCCTAGAAAATTCTTTCCCATAGAAGCTCACTAAGGTTATTCATTCTAGCCAAATATCACTTCCAGAGAGGCCATCCTTGACCACCCTTGGCCTCCCCTCTGCACCCTCTCTGCCCCCTAAACCAGTATTATGCTACATGTCTATAGGTTGATTCGTTGACCATATGCTGAGGGTAAACATCAAGGCAGAGAGAGACCTGGTCTCTTTGCTCCCTGCTGAGTTCCCAGATCCTAGAACATTGCCCAGCACGTTCTAAGTTCCCAATAAATATTTGTGAAGAAATGAAGTAGGTAGAGTGGCTGGCCCAGAAGATGCTTTTCAAAAGTCAACCCCTCTCCTTTGCATGGAAGCCTTCAGAGCAAGGTGCAGCTGGCATTCTGCCCTGCTCCTGCAACTCAGACCATACCTGGGCTCAGTTCTAGGAAGCATGTCTTAAGAAAGACCCTAGAAGGCAACCAAAAACCAGTGGCCAGGTAGGGAAGGGAGTATTGGAAATACAAGGATGAACTTTGGAGGAAACTAAGCTCTTGAGCCTGGAGAAGATCGGAATCAGGAACAACAGGCTAGCTCGGCAAGGGCAGATCTAGTGATAGAATTTGTAACAGGAGTCAGGAGAATTAAATGGGTTGCTCTGGAATGATCAGATGAGATCAGTATTTGTCAGACCTGGTTGTGGGCAGGGTCTGGGGTGGATGGGGCGGGGGTTGCTGTAAAGTCTGATACAATCATCTGGATCTTCTGGAAGAAGAATCCCTGAGCTCTGTCTATTTTGTTGTGACAAGGAAGAGGCTTGATACAAAGTGTTGTGTTGAAGGCCAGGGAGGACAACCTGCAGAGTCAGAAAGATTTTGAATTTACTTAAATAAAGAAGAGTAGGAGAAGAATGGGTAAAGGGACCTCAGAAGAACCTGTGTTAGGCCTTTGTGCCATAGTAGGTGATCTCCTTTCGGTTTAAACCAGCATCCTCCTTCACATTAAGGTAACCTTGCTAATTTCAGTGTCCATTGGCTCTGGTTTTACTTGTATTTTCATGTATAACTGTGTTGATTGCAAAATAGGCGTTGTACTTGATGAAAGGTGTAACCATCAGGATTTGGTTCCTCGTTTTATGAGTTAAAGTCATGCTATTATAAAGTAATTTGGTCAACACAATTTCGGAAAACACTGAATCAGAAAACCTTTAAGGTTTCTGGCAGCCCGGAGAGCTTGTGGTTTTGTAAATCTTGTGTAACATCTCTATGGCTGTTGCAGCAACATTGCACAGGATTTAGAAATCTTTCACACATTTGGCTTCTATTGGCAGAACCTTGGTTCTCTTTGCCAGGGTCTGGTGCCCCCTCTGTTGGAACTTGAGCCAATCCTGTCACCCAGAGATAAGAAAGGTTGCTAATTGACCCTCTATCCAGGTTTAACAAGGTCAATCACGGTCTTGTTAACCTCAGGTGGCCTCTTTTTCCGGAGTTAACTGGTCCCATCCTTTGAAAGCAGATTTTAAAAGTCTGAACGCCTGCAGGATTCAGGTTCTATTAAAAAAACAAAAGTACACTTTGGGAAACGGGTGGGAAACGGGGAAAGAGGCTCCAGAGTCTAAAAATAGTCTTCCTGCTTAATGCTTTCAAGAGGACCTCCTCTGATGATTGCCTAACTGGTTTAACCTTGCAGGTACTTTTCTCACTTCTACATCATCTCAGTGCTGTGGAACGGCTTCCTGCTCTGGCACCTTACTCAGTCTCTGTTCCTGGGAGTGCCTTTTCCAGACTGGCTTCACGGTCTGCTCAGAATTCTCGGGGCTGCCCAGTTCCAAGGTACAACTCCATGGACTAATTATAACCGTTTCGTCCTGTTCCTGCCTTTCCTGCCTCCAGGGAGCTGTTCCTGGTATCTCACAGTCACGCCCAGTCTCCTCCTGTGTGGGCCCCGGAAGTGGAGGGTGAGGCCAAAAAAAGAGTTCTGCGTGCTTCCTAACCCGGGGATGTCCCCCTAAAACGGGGATGTCTCCATGTCCTTCACTGAGTCTGCTCTTCGTCCCTGCCTTCGAGTGAGTGCTATGCTGTGTACAAGACTGGCTGTGCTCCTTCTGATATTTTTAGTGCTATCGATATATTTATGCAGAAGTCTTTACACTGTGCGAAAGCTCTTAGGCTCCATTAGGTTTGCCTTGAAACATTTGTCATTTCTCTAGCTGAACCAAAATCATGTCTCAGAACCCCAGAAATAGAATAGAAATTACTCTTGATCACCAGTTAAAAATATTGGTTATACTGCAAGCAATAGTTATATAATAAAATTGGCTCTGAATAGTTGTTGACCAGATGATTATAAAATAGTCTTTAAATTCACCTCACTCAACCTCGAATAAAGGATGCATGGAACAATTTTAGAAATCAGGAATTGAAGGTGAAAACCATAAGACGGCCTCAATTAGTGTCAGGGAGAGGGTGAGGGGCTGAATTAGAAACAAATTGTCCTGGTGCTATCTCTGTCCTTTGTTCCACCACTGGCTCCATGGGAACAGTCCTTTTCTGCATAACCAGGGGAACTTGTTGCAAAAGATGACAGCCCGAGGGAAGACCTATGCAGAGACCTCAGCAGATCCCACTTCACCCATTAAAGCGTCATCTCTCCCTTTGTTTACTGTGGGGCTAGCTGGGGTTCTGGAATTTAGAAGGTTGGTTGTGAGGAGTTTTATTTGTATATTTGTTTTAACCTATTCCTAAAGAGTTAAAACTAGGATTTGCTGTATTTAAAATAGAAAAATAGCCAATGCTATTCTGTACTGATAGAAGTCTAGATAGGGCTTACCTTTGTTGGGGGTAGGCAGTGCCTGGAGGGGAGACAAGGGAGTGCTGGTTGTGTTCTGTTTCTTGATCTGGATGCTGGATATATGGGCGGAATAAGTTGGTTTAGTTTGTAAAATTCGTTAAACTGTATCCTTAATTCTGTGTGTGTGTGTGTATGTGTCTGTGTCTGTGTGTGTGTGTGACATTCATTTAAAAAACAAAAACATCTAGGTGTTAGGTCATTTTAAAAACTAGTACTTCTTCTGAATTCTTTTGGCAGAGGGATGGGAAGCAGGTAGGGAGATTGATCTCAAGGCTCACAGTCCCTGAAAGTATGATTTTGTTTCTTGTTTGTTTAATATGGAAAGAAATGCGTATTTCTCTCTGTCTCTGTTCCTGTCCCCTTTTCTGCCTGTCTGGGTGCCTGTGTCTCATCTCCCCTGACCCAGGGATCCCACCGGGTGGGGTTAGTAGAGGTCATCCGGGCATTCTTCCCAACCATCTTCATCTGGCTGTTAGCGCTAGGAACCAGAGGTCCACAGACACCAGGTTCTGCATGCACAGACTCCTTTGCAGTGACATGCGTGTAACCAGAAGGCTTTCCAAGCCTGTCACTAGTCAAATTCCTTAACTTCACTTGGCCCACTTCCTCATGACTTAAAAAAAAAAAAAAGTGTTAGGCTAGATGATGTTCTAGGGCCCTCTCCTAGTTCTAATCTTATTTAATACTCTGTGGAAGAGGAGGAAAAATAATAATGACTTTGGCATTAATCCCAGAAAGAGAGATGCTAACATATTGCATTCTGAATTATAGGGGGTGAGCTGGCACTGTCCACATTCTTAGTGTTAGTATTTCTGTGGCTACACAGCTTGCGAAGGCTCTTCGAATGCTTCTATGTCAGTGTCTTCTCCAATGCCATGATTCACGTCGTGCAGTATTGTTTTGGACTTGTCTACTATGTCCTCACCGGCCTGACTGTGCTCAGCCAAGTGCCAATGGACGGCAGGAATGGTGAGTGGTCCCTGGGGTCTGTCAGCCGAGTCACTGGGCGTGTGAAGTGCTGTTCAGGCAAAGCACTCCACCAAGCCTGACAAAAGTTTGAAAACAGACCTGCCCAACCCACTTTGCATTTAAGAGTTTGAACTCTACCAGCCTTGGCAAAAGTCAACATGTCCAAGGGTATATACATTAACTATTACACAATTGCTAAAACCTGAGAGACACCAACATAAGCACTAATGCCCGTGGTAAAGATAGTAAAGTACCAGGTGTTGAGGAGGCTTGGTGTAAGGATGAAGAACTGGGATGTGGGTCTCCCTTGGTGGGACTGAGGTCCGTGACCTCAGGCGGAGTTACTCTGGAGAGAAAGAGGGAGTATGGGCAAGAGTTGGATAGGAAGCAGGGGAACACCCAAGAGCAGGAGAAAGGGTCCACAAGGTTGCTCCACCAAAGGCTCAGTCTCCCTCGGGTGTGTGTGTGGAAGGGGAAGGGTGGTACGGGATTAAATCTCAGAATACCAGAGGAGAAGGGGTGGCCTGGGCCGGGTTGAGTAGTTGTGATTTGAAGAGGGAGTAGAGAGCCATTTTGTTGCCATTTCGTTCTTAGGATGATTCTGATCATAACAAAGCTTTTCTTCAAGGGAGGCAGCCTGAAGGGAGAGGACAAAAGCATACTGTGGAGAGTCTGAGTTGCATCTAACATTGCTGAGCTCTGAGTTGTATCTAACATTGCTGAGCTCCCACTGGCCGGGAAGAGGGAAGCAAAATCATGACCTTTGTTTATGAGAAGGAAATGAAGTGTGCTTTGCAGGGGGAAGGGAGGCTGGAGATCTAACATATAGGACTATCATTTTTGTAAAAACAATGCATGCTTTTTACACAGAACTTGAGTCATTCGGGGTGACTCACGTTAGTTTTCACTGCTGAGGCGAAGTTCACTCTGCTTTGCCTTTGGTGTCCTTCTGCCCACACACTGTAGGGCAGAGCATTCACGACTGTTTTCTCTTAATTCAAGTCTTCGTGTGTCTTATCTGTCCGTGTAAATAGAGACCAAAGTCTGGATGTTTCCAGTACTCAGTGAACTTTCTCCTCAGGTTTGATTTTGGCATCAGAATAGCCCCTTGAGCACCCTCTCTCTGTCGCTGTAGCACAACCCAAGGTCTCTTCGGCTTAAGGAATGACATTAGAGTACAATTTAGTAATGATTTTTCTTAATTCATGAATTATTTATTGGCTTCAGCCACTCAGCTAGCATCTCTCCATCTGATTCCCCTGAATTTAATCAAGTCAGTGTTTCCTCCCTGAGCGTTCTGCTGTGGCACCCACGTGCAGCCCACATCAAGGTCTGAACTATTATTCATGATGCACAGTGCTAGGATTTCCACCCAAAGGAGCTTTCTGAAGCACGCGGCTAACCCGCTAGCTTTCAGTCTGTTGGCCTCCGTTGGCATTACGTATCTCTTCTGGAGCTTCGTCTGCTAGCTTGACCCCAGCTTCTGCCTTTCCCCCCAAATAAACAGTCAAGAAAAAGCAGCTGAGACACCCCCAGAAATCGCTTCCTAGACACTCCTTTCTGAAGCTGTCCTCTGTTTCACCTACTTGTCTTTCAAGAAGTCATATGCAGGCATTTGGGACAATATGAGGAAAACCGGTTTCAGGAATTCACTGAGAGAGAACACACAGGCATGTGTCAGCCATGGGGTCTGATAGGAATAGACTGAGTCTGAATTCTGGCTTACTTAACCACCCTGAACCTCAGTACCTTCATCTGTAATCAGGGACACATCCTGATTTCAGAGGGTTCTTGTGAAAGGGAAGAGAAAGGATGTCTACAAGCTGCCCCCTCGTCTCCTGGTCTTCAAAGTCTAGAGGGTCTACCTCCAGCCACTTCCCATTACACTGTTGTGTTTTATTTTCTCCTGAGTGCCCTCTCTACCTGAACTTGTCTTGGTCATCGGTTTGCCTACGAGTTTCTGTCTGTCCTTTGCCACTGGAACGTGGGTTCCTGAGGACTGAGATCGTACCTTACGTACTCACTGCTTTATCCCTGTGTCAGATGCCAGGCTCAGTAGACACTCAGTCAGTAAATAATGAATAAGCAAAGAGTTAAATACTACACAGATTGGATTCTCAGCCTTCCACTTGCCTCCCCTTTCCTGCATTATAATTCCAACTTATTCTTAGGAATCTTTCCCTCATAGGTACTTTCTCTGATTCAGAGTAGGTAACTTGGCAGCGATGAGAACTCTCAAACACTTGCTTCGGTTTTTAATCCTAAAATGACTTGCTCTTAAAGCCCTCCAATTTAAAACTATTTTTCATATTTTGTTTATTTTTAACCTGTAAAAATATAACCTTTTCATTAAATGGCTAAGTCTAGTAAACATTAAGAGTCTATAGTAAACGGTTTCTATAGGGCAGGTTTTTAAAAGAAATTAACACAGGTAGACATTGGTGGACTCTCATGAGTCTTAATCTGTCATTAGTCCTCCCTCCCGGCGCCCATAGGGAATCGCATATTCTCGGTTCTCTTACCTGAATCAACCCTGTAGGGGCTGTCTCTTGGCTCCAGACCCTCAGGCTCTTCCCCACCGTCAATCCAATCCGCAGTCAATGGACAGCTTTGTTTCTTCAGTCAAGTTCCTGACTAGCCTGACTGCTTCCTGCTGATCATAAGAAAGTCCTGAATTTGCTTTTCTGATGCCAGTCCTCAAAAGACCTGCATTCTTCCTGTCTTCTTGGTAGCTGGAAAAGAAAGAGGAAGATGATACTTTGAGTGTTTCTACTTCTGAGCTAAATCTAACATGGTTCTCTCTAATCAGAAAAGGATAGTTTGGGGCGCCTGGGTGGCTCAGTGGGTTAAAGCCTCTGCCTTCAGCTCAGGTCACAATCCCAGGGTCCTGGGATCGAGCCCCACATCGGGCTCTCTGCTCCGCGGGGAGCCTGCTTCCCCGCTCTCTCTCTCTGCCTGCCTCTCTCCCTACTTGTGACCTCTGTCTGTCAAGTAAATAAATAAAATCTTTAAAAAAAAAAAAGAAAGAAAAGGATAGTTTGTGTCTTCGTCTTGCAATTTACACTTCTTCTCTTTTGGGAAGCCCCACGGTGAGCTGTGACTTCTAGTGATTTTCTTCATTGGCTGATGCCAGTCAAGTCCGTGCTCTGCATTCAGTGTCTCCCCTGAATGGCTTAGGGTGGCAGCTCAGGGTGAGATTCCTTTAGAAAGTGAAAAAATTCCTTTACTGACAGTAGACCGTAAGAAAGAAGACATAACACCAGGCTTAGAAATAGAAATGCAAAGCAGTGTCACCACACGAGAGCGCATCACCAGAGTAGGAGACAGAGCCGACCTCCGTGCTTGAAGCGTTTGAAGAGGCAGCAGGAGAGTGTGTCCGTGTGGCACTCTCTGTCGGGGGCCACCGAAGCTGCCCCTGGATGAGGAGTCTACCCCCTCACCCACAGGACAGCGCTCTCCCCGCCCCCCCAGACCTGGTACATTCGGTCAGGACAATTTTCTAGTCGCGAGGAACAGTATAGTGGGTAATTGTGTTCTACTAACTGTATGGTTCTACTAGCTGTATCATTCCCCAAGCCTCTGAAATTTTGCAGGCTGGCTGATAAGCTCATTCTTTTTTTCTGTAGTCTATGCGATAGGGAACAATCTCTTGATGCAAGCTCGGTGGTTCCATATCCTCGGAATGCTGATGTTTATCTGGTCGTCTGTCCATCAGTACAAGTGCCACGTCATTCTCGGCAATCTCAGGAAAAATAAAGCAGGTGAGGGGCCTTTCGCAGCCACTGCATGGGAAATTTGAACCCTCAGAAGTTAGTTATCCCTGTTCCTTTATTTTTTCCCCTCCTGCCCTAAATTAACGGACTCATCTACCAAATGCTCCTTTTCGACAAGACATCTCTCTGGGTCTCGATCTTCCCCTTTGTAAAATGAGAGCGTTCTGCTGAAAGACTTCCCCGGCTCCATCTAGCCCTCACGCTCTGTAATTCTATTCTGTGTCCACATCTGGGGGCCTGCACAGCAGACACGTGCCTAACCAGCACATGAACATTCCCGTTTCCCTGCTGAGTTAGGGTCATTCCAACCGCAGCAAAAAAATAAATAAAGAAAATAAAACCACTTGACTTTTTAGTTAGCTTGTATTGACTTACCACAGGTACAGTTTTCATTAGGTTTTTTGAAATACTAACAGTGGAATAATACTATTCAGCATTTATCCAGTGCTTATTCTGTGCCAGGCCCGGTTCCTGGAACTTTACATAGAGTCTCACAGTGCTTAGTTGAGTTGGGGACAGTCTTATTCTCCCTTTACAAATGGGGAAACTGAGGCACCGAGCTGTTAAGCAGCTTTTCTAAAGTTCCACAGCATGTGAATGGTAGAGTCAGGATTTGAGCTCATGTCGTCTGAGCTCTTAATGACTAGCTTGGAGGCCTAGTGGGGAAACAGACTTTCCTCTGTGCTTATTTTCAGTTGATAGTGTAACCTAGGCATGTAACTTTCTAATACATAGTAGGCTGACAATGGAAGTGTGACGGGAAATGGGTTTGCACACAGGTCAGCAATCTGAGTTTTTGGAAATGACTTGGGGCCTGAGGGGGTAAATTCTCTTTCTACAACTTCATTTGTTCGTGGCCTTCTGTTTCTGTTTCAGGGGTGGTCATTCACTGTAACCACCGAATCCCTTTTGGAGACTGGTTTGAATATGTTTCTTCCCCGAACTACTTAGCAGAGCTGATGATCTACATTTCCATGGCTGTCACCTTTGGGCTCCACAACTTAACTTGGTGGCTAGTGGTGACATATGTTTTCTTCAGCCAGGCGCTGTCTGCTTTCCTCAGCCACAAATTCTACAAAAGCAAATTTGTCTCCTATCCAAAGCATAGGAAAGCTTTCCTGCCATTCCTGTTTTAAGGTCACCTCAGTCATGAAGCATGCAAACCAGGTGACAGGTGCGATTCCTCAGGACAACAAAATCTAGGGACCAAAGCACAGTTTCTGCAGAACTGTTTGTAACTCCGCATTCCGTTTTTACACCCAAAAGTCTTCACCAAATGAGCAAAGCAAGACCCCGCAAGAAAATGAATCTTCAAAGAGGAAATCCTTCTGGCAGGCCTGGGAGTGCTGTGTCTGCCTTCTGAGATGCTTTATAAAACCAACCAACTGCTAACAAGTAGATGAGACTTCTCCAAGCTGCCTCACAAGCAAACTAACCAAGAATATGCCAACGGCTTCACACATGCACCTACGTCCCCAGAGGAAGAGATGAGACCATCCGTGGCTTTTGTTGGGACAGATGAGCTGGACTACATAAGCAGCAGTATAGCAGTGTGCAGTAACTGTTGCATTTCAGTAAAAGCAGAAGAGCTTTTGGAAATCACAATATATAATTTCACAGCAACAGATTTAGGGGAAAATGAGTTTGTTGGAGATAGTGTATACCTTCACATACAGCCATGAAGATTTTCAGTTACGTAACCAGCAACAGCGGTTTCCACTCATCTCCCCTTCAAATCATAGGAAACCACTTTTATTCAATTCTTCTTTTGACATGCCTTTCAAGGAAGTACCTTAAAAGTGAAAGCATCTGAAAATAAAATATTTTTATATTTATGTGTAGAGCTCTTTCATGAATGGACTGACCTTCGCTGCAGAGGGGGCCAGTGCTGTAGCCTCGTTCGTGTGGAGTTACTCACACTGGATTAAGGTTTGCCTGAGTTTGAACTGTTTTAATAAAGTGAATCTGAAGATTTTTAGGAATAAAGTTTACACTAAAACAGTCTGTTCAAGAAAATACCCATGATTAAATCAAAGGGCAAAAAATGCATGGTTTTTTTTTTTTTTTTTTTTTTTTTAAATTTATTTGACAGACAGAAATCACAAGTAGGCAGAGAGGCAGGCAGAGAGAGAGGAGGAAGCAGTCTCCCCACTGAGCAGAGAGTCCGATGCGGGGCTCGATCCCAGGACCCTGGGATCATGACCTGAGCCGAAGGCAGAGGCTTTAACCCACTGAGCCACCCAGGTGCCCCAAAAAATGCATGGTTTAAAAGAAAAACAAGAACTGGAAAAGTAACACCAAAGCCTGAGCAACTCTGTAAAAACTGCACATTTGTGCAGCACAGGATTTCCTGGCTTAGTGACTAAGGTATTAACTTGATGGCTTTTGTGCAGGTGTCATATTACAGTCTACTAGCTAGTGAAGTTTTGCACTAATAGGTACCTTGCTGTGGGAGAAAGAACCTCATTATTATTCAGACGCATAACCAAATGCAGTGAAAGCACATTCTCCCACCCTCATCCTTGGAGTAGTAAAAACAAAGCTGCTAGACTGAGATTCTTCTTAATCTAAACTTTCAGTATAAGCACATGAAAGCACATTCTAAAGTTCTAAAAATAATTCTGCTGTAGCATTTTCTCTCCCATCCATCAAATACCACCTCAATCGGTTGCTCAGTCTGTTCCGACAAATGACCTATTTGTTTCATTTATCATTTGGGTGCACCATCCTCAGGAACAGGACTCAGAACAAAACTTTCCACACTGGAAATGTAAACATATTGCAATTTGGTCTTAATTTCCACACAAATGACACAAATGCTTTTTTTTTTTTTTTTAAGATTTCATTTATTTATTTGACAGGCAGAGATCACAAGTAGGCAGAGAGGCAGGCGGAGAGAGAGAGAGGAAGGGAAGCAGGCTCCTTGCTGAACAGAGAGCCCAATGTGGGGCTCGATCCCAGGATCCTGGGATCATAACCCGAGCTGAAGGCAGAGGCTTTAACCCACTGAG